GGGTGTGTGAGTGTGTGTGTGTGTGTGTGTGTGTGTGTGTGTGTGTGTGAGTGTGAGTGTGCGTGTGCGAGTGCGAGTGCGAGTGCGTGTGCGCGTGCGCGTGTGAGTGTGTGAGTGTGTGAGCGTGTGAGCGTGTGTGTGTGTGTTATATCCGGTGTGACTCTGTGGTGGTTTTTCTCTTCTCTCCTGTGCTTGTTGTGGTCTCTGCAGCGGTCTGATCTCGGTGGCTTTGGTTCTGATGGTAAGCTGTAGTGTGTGTCTGTATGTAAACTCACTCGCCATCATTCAGCGTCCCGGGCTGTGTGTCACTAACGCCGCCTCTGCTGTGTGCATGGCTCTGTCCTGCCCCGCATGTCTCTCGCTCGTCTGATCCGTCCTTCAGTTCAAACCCTCACGCCTGATTCACTCAGACTCACCCATGTGACCGTCTCACGTGTTCCTCTGTCTGTATGATCTGATGTTCACATGACCAAACATTCAACTACAGGAGTCTCTTTCTTCTGTGGAACAAAACAGGAGGTGTGATTTCTCACAGTGAAGGTTCATAGCGAGCCTGAATGTCATGCTGTAATTCCCAAACTCCTCGATCAACTCACATTACACACATTATCTGATTAATTCGTTTCTACAATGTTCATCCGCTGGTGGTTTGCAGTATGGACTGTTAAATGCATCTGCTAAAAACTGTCAAATGCTTCAAAACTTACACTACGGTTCAAAAGTTTGGGGTTAGCAAGATTTTATTGAAAGAAATTAATGTTTTATTCATTAAGGTTGCATTAAATTGATCAAAAGTGCCAGTAAAGACATTTATAATGTTAGAAAAGATTTCTATTTCAACATCACAGAAATAAATTACAGTTTAACAGATATTCACATAGAAAACAGCTGTTTTAAATTGTAAAAATATTTCATAATTTTTACAGTATTTTTGATCAAATAAATGCAGTCTTGGTGAGCAGAAGAGACTGAAAAACATAAAAAATCTTACCAACCCCAAAACTTTTGGACGCTAATGAATGAAGCCTATTTAAGAGAAATTATACATCAGAACTGTCTTGTACAGTGTTGAACACTTTTTAATATTATTGTATGACAGCTGTATGCTGTCCAGAGCTCATTTACTCACTTTAGGCCAGAAAAGATCTCGTCTTCTCACTCCGTGTTTTGTGTGTTTTTCTCAGACTCGTGCTGTGATTTGGACATTCCCATAATAAGCGTTGAACTGGACGGGAGATACAGGAACTCTGTGGATCTGCTGGAGTCGGAGGAGGAGTCGGAGAGCACTGCCCTTTGACCCCTGGGATTACCCACAATCCTTTACTCCCTCCCTTCACCGCACAAGTGACGTTGTATTGTCCACGTGATCCTCTGCACTGACCCACAGACAGGATCTGAAGCGCGGATCACGTCACTGTGCCGTTCTGGTCCCGTCTTCTTTGTGTTTTTTATGTTTTTACGGTTTTTCCATGTGGTTGGTTTTCTATTTGCCTTATCTGAGTTCTTGCACTTTTGTCTTGAAGTTCGTGTTATGTGTGTTCGGGACGCTGCTGGGTGTAGAAAATCACACTGAAACCTTGTTGTGTGTAAACCCAGACTAGCATTCGAACAAGTATACAAACAGCTCCTGACACACTACAGCACAATCTGCTCATATCTGAGACGAAGATGGACGTGAGTGTGAGTGTGTGTGTGTGTGTGTGTGTGTGTGTGAGTGTGTGAGTGTGAGTGCGTGCGTGCGTGCTTGAGTGTGTGTGTGTGTGTGAGCGTCTGAGATGAGATGCTCTCGCTGTGGTTTGTAGTCAGATTTTAAGTTGACTGATGTGGAGTAACTGAGAGGGGCCGTTCACACATGAATTTACCATTCAAAACTTTGGGATTGGTACATTTTTTTTATGTTTTTCAGTCTCTTCTGCTCACCAGGGCTGCATTTATTTGATCAAAAATACAGTAAAATTGTGAAATATTATTACAATTTAAAACAGCTGTTTTCTATGTGAATATCTGTTAAACTGTAATTTATTTCTGTGATGCGCAGCTGTATTTTCAGCATCATTACTCCAGTCTTCAGTGTCACATGATCTTCAGAAATCATTCTAATATGCTGATTTGCTGCTCAAGAAACATTTCTGATTATTATCAATGTTGAAAACAGTTGTGCTGCACAATATTTTTGTGGAAACCGTGATGCATTTTATTTTTCAGGATTCACAGATGAATAGAAAGTTCAAAAGAACAGCATTTATTTGAAATAAAATTGTGTAAATTAAAAAAATTGACATCAGAACTTTATCTTTAAAAGAAAATTGTTTTTAAAGTGCTGTGTGTGAACGGACCCTCAGTGTGAATGAGTGATGGATAAAATAAAGCGCATTTGTACTGAAAGATAATATATAAAGTATCAAATCACAGAAAATATCAAATATAAAACGGATATAAATTATTTATATTAACATTAACATTAATATGACTATATATTTAGTGAGAAGAAAATATTTCTGAATGTGTTTATCATCATTTCACCCAGATATTTTGGAATCAGGATTTCCATTCCTTATGACCAGTTACCAATATGACCAATATACAGTGGGTACGGAAAGTAACCCCTTCAATTTTTCACTCTTTGTTATATTGCAGCCATTTGCTAAACAACAATTCTGTGTTTTTCTGTCAATATGGGGTGCTGTGTGTACATTAATGAGGAAAAAAAATTAACTTAAATGATTTTAGCAAATGGCTGCAATATAACAAAGAGTGAAAAATTGAAGGGGGTCTGAATACTTTCCGTACCCACTGTATATATTCATTCATACAGATATTCATTTTGCTTTTTAAGGTTTTAGAAAAAATTTCCATGAATTTTTCCAGACCTGGAAATCACATTTTAACCCTTTGATGCATTAACTAGTGAATCAGTATATTTAAAAAATGCATCAATGATTCTAAACAACATCATCATTCAACGCCAACAAATATAATCTTGTATTTTTAAATGATATATATATATACATGCACATCTGTCTACTGCAATATAACATAGTAGCAGATATGGTGCATCATAAATAAAAAATGCAATGACAAATAAAGAGGAATTAGGAGTAAAGTTCAAAGATCATCATCTATCCCGCCCTAAATGATTCAAATGTCTCCTCTAATGGACACATCATGCATCTGAGGGTTAAAATTCCCTGATATTTACATGTTTTCCATGATTTGGGAACCCTTACTGACCGAACGAAGGCTGTTGATTCCTGGCGTGTTATTCGTCTGATTAATATGAATGGATATATGAAATGAATAACACATCACAAACTCTGCTGTAAGTATTAGCATGTGTAAATGCTGTTAACTCTCCGCTGTACATAGTCTATAGAAGCAAAGGTCAAATATTTATCAATCTTTCTCTCTCTATATAAACATATATATGTATATATACAGACAATATTATTTTTGCTTCAGACACAATGCTGGAATATGAATCGCCACGGTTCCTGTGAAGGTCTCTGATAACATGAGGTTCCAGTGCGTTTGCTGAAGAATCAGACGCACAAACAAACTGAAAGAGATCCGGATTGCGACAGAGATTAAACCGAAGTCACACGTTTACCTCTTACAGATGCTTCTGTAATGCTTCAGAGTCTGTCTGCATGTTTCAAACGCTGACCATACTTTAAAGTCAACATGAAACCCATTTGTGACCCTGGAGCACAAAACCAGTGATAAGGGTCAATTTTTCGAAATTTAGATTTATGCATCATATGAAAGCTGAGCTTTCCATTGATGTATGGTTTGTTAGGATAGGACAATATTTGGCTGAGATACAACTATTTGAAAATCTGGAATCTGAGGGTGCAAAAAAATCTAAATATTGAGAAAATCATCTTTAAAGTTGTCCAAATGAAGTTCTTAGCAATGCATATTACTAATCAAAAATTAAGTTTTGATATATTTACGGTAGGAAATTTACAAAATATCTTCATGGAACATGATCTTTACTTAATATGCTAATGATTTTTGGCATAAAAGAAAAATCTATAATTTTGACCCATACAATGTATTGCTGGCTATTGCTACAAATATACCCCAACGACTTAAGACCAGGGTCACATTTTAACTCCATAATGTGACGTTCTGAATTAAACAGGAGGAAAATAAATAGTAAAGAAGGTCATGCTGAGTTTAAAAACCTCCTAATGTGAATGTCTGATGGTTTGTGTGTGTGTTGGGTAAGTTATCATCAGTCTTTGTGGATTTGGTTTTGTTTGACCATTTTAAACAAAATTTGACTTCAGGTGACACATTAATCCAGAAGAATATCAGTAGATCAGGGAAACGGTGTAGTGAAACTGAAATGCAACGCGTAAAGAGTATAAACTCCATATTGCTGCATTTTCACAGCTAAAGCTCTGATTGTGTTTTCCTAGCGGATGAGAGCAGGTCTGTCAGGAACGCAGAGGTGAAGATGAACTGTCATATGTTTGTGGATCTGAATAGGCTTGTTTTCGGTATCTTGATATGGTGGTTTTGTACTTTTGTTGGCTGAAGCCCATTTTTATATGAGGGTGTTATTGACAGAAGCCCATTGAAGAAGGTCAGACTGTCGTTTTAAGTGTTTTCGCAGGTTTAAGGCAGTGTTTTCGGTAGCAAACACAATCTAATGTGTTGAACTGACCTGATATTGGTAGCTAAAATCATAATTAGCCTAAATATGTAATGAGCAAACACAAAAGGGTCGGGAAATATGAATGAAGTGCATTATTCCTGTGTGTTTTGGGGATCAGTCTGGATTATTGTAAAGATGCTCTGATGTCTTAACTAGATGTTTGTGAATCTGCCGCATGCTTTGCATTCATTACCTACAATGTATCTCAATTTGAAACTTTTTATACATGCTATTATAGCTTTTTGGCAAAAAAAAAAGAAGAACAGAAATACCCAGGTAATGCAGAATATCAGCTGTTATTCAAGACTATCAACCGCTCAAACTTCTGTACTAGATCGCATGCAGACTCCTCCTAATGGTGATTTGCGACCAAGAAACTTTAAAGCAATAGTTCACCCAAAAATGAAAATGTGCTCACCCTCTGTAAACAAATATGTGCCTGGATTTTGATGTGAGAGACAACAGCAGATGCACTTTTTCACTGGAGGAAGAGTTATTATGGATTATAGACTCGTATTTGAGTTAAAAACGTCTTAATGATGGATTTGTTTCAGCTTTTGTCTTCTCCAGATGTTAACTGATGGACTGGAGTGCTGTGGATTACTTGTGGATTATTGTGATGTTTTTATCAGCTGTTTGGACTGTCATTCTGACGGCACCCATTCACTGCAGAGCATCCATTGCTGCGACACTGATGCAGTGCTACATTTTTCCAAATCTGATGAAGAAACAAACTCATCCTGATAATCTGAGCGTGAGCACATTTTCAGCACATTATCATTTTTGGTGAACTATTCCTTTTGAGTCATGCATTTCCAATGAAAGTTTAAAATCACAGACTCTGATTGAAAATAATTGACTTTTACAGTCTGAACACACCTTGGCTCTACATTAGACTGAACTCAGCACCGTCACTCACAAGCTCTTAAATAAGTTCTTTCCTCACTGTCTCATGTGTATCTGATCACAATCACTTAGCAAACTAGTTAATGACTCAATAACCACACAAACCGCCGCAGACGCCGTGTGTATATTTGTGTGCTGGAGTTTTTAATGCTGCATGCTCCCGTCATGCTGTTGCGTTCTGTCTGTTTCTTGTTTATTTACTGTTAGCGATGTGTTTCATGCTCGATTTACACTTGAACAAATGGGGGCCAAATAAACGGAGCTTCATTTACTCAGAGAATGATATTTTACATTTTGTTGTTTTTTTTACGAAGAGGCCCTGTGTGTCAAAATGTGTTTAAAATGGGAAACTGGAATAATTTGAGACGGGATGTTTAAAGTCTCATGAAGCTTAAAGAACAACATCCTTCATCAGAATGTGATCTTGACAATAAAATAAATCATTTTTATTTACTTACATTTGTACATGCATTTTATTCCAGTCTGTTTACTTCTGAAATATGACATATTTCTGAGGGAAAAACCAGGAATTGATGTGATGGAGTAAAGTATATATATATATATATATATATATATATATATATATGCATGCATATATACAGTATATATACACCAGAATGAACTCAGAACTGAAAGTTTGTTTACTAAAATTACTAATTATAAGCAATGTCTTCTAAAAAGTAAAGTTGTTTCAGAGACGAAGCAAGTTATAAAATCACATTGTGCTGAAAGATTATGAAGACAAATATTTATTTCTTTGGAATAACTGATGAATCATTCAGAATAAGACCATGTATTAAAAAATAAACTAGGTCAGTTTTAAGTTTATGTATAATGCATTTCAAAGCTATTCATAATGTACATTGTAATGCATTATATATCATTGTAAAGTTAAATGCATTATAATATTAGTACATTCCTTTTTACATCTGAACTTGGTTGTTTGTCACATATTTGAATGCATTATACTGTGTAAAGGTGTAACAATTAATAGATAAGTATGACAATTTATTAAAATTGTGGTCATAAGATCATGCAATGCATTATAATTAATGCATTACATTTTTTTTTACAATGCATTGCATTTAGCGGCTTCAATCACTACCAAAACTTATAAAGTAGAAAATGTTTAAATGTATAAAGTTGTTCAAACGATCTGAAGATGTTCCACTGCAGGCCACACAGATTCTGTCAAAATACACAAAAACGGCAAAAATGAGTCACATATGCAGACAAATGTCCGTTAGTTAACTAGACTAAAGAATATATCAGTAGTTGTGGGTTCATGGAAACATTCATGGAGATAGTTGGTGGTTAGATGAGATGTATGAAGAAAGAATAACAAAAAAGAGCAAAGAGTTTCTCATCAGTAACTCAGGAGAATTAAGAGACTTCTGTTATGTCTCACTTTATCTCAGATGTTTCTCAAACAGACTCAAAGAGCTGCCAGTATACAGCTATAAAATGAATTGTTTGAGAAATGATTGAGATTATATTTTTGCAGTCCAGTTCACATGCACGCATGCGGTCTCTAGATACGCTCTGATGTTTGCATGCACTGCAGAGGTTCAAACAAGACGTACCTCCTGACCCTAAATCCAAACCTACACTGTGGTGGGACGAAAACTCCCGAAAACATGTCCTTAAACGATCAGATGCACAAAACAACACGTTCAGGAAACAACAAACACATGCTATTTGTTTACCTCCAATGCAGAAAAATTATTCACAATGATGATTCTCATTGCTGTAATAGAGTACTTTCTACATTACACTATAAAAATGACTGTAACACAATGATTGCATTTAAAGAATTATTTAAAAACCATGACATATAAATACTCTGTATTTTAAATAATATACTGATGTCACATACAGAAAATCTTAAAGAATACAAACACAGTTTTAGGAGCTTTAATGGGACAGTTCACCCAAAAATGAAAATTCTGTCATCATTTACTCAGCAAGCAGTTGACGGTAGCCATTGACTTCCATTGTATGGAAAAACTACAGTGGAAGTCAATGGCTACCGTCCACTGTGTGGTTACCAACAATCTTCAAAATATCTTCTTTTGTGTTCAACAGAAGAAATAAACTCATAACTTGGGGGTGAGCAAACGATGACGATTTAAATTTTTGGGTGAACTGTCTCTTTAAGCGGAACGTAAGGTGTGTTACCGGAGTCCAGACGCTGGTGTAGCGGTGAATGATACGTGCTGATGTAGCGCGTGGGACTCAACAGCGCCTCCATCTGGAGCAGACGACTCACCGCGGCCTGAGGAGGAACCACATCTGACGCCTCCTTCAGCACTTCATCCAGAATCACTTTAGATCCCTTTTCAAACACACAGATCTCCTGAATTTTTCACCACTGGTGTGAGTAGTAAAACATCCCAGATAGCACAGGTACATCTGCAAGACGTCTGTTAAACATCGCTTCATCTGGAAAGCATCTGCTGAGTACAAACATCTGACAGACGTCTTTAAGATGTCAGTTTTCAATCATAAACGTCTTAAAGACATCTTCTAAACGTCTATTTGACATCTATTGCAGATGAGCAAACACTAAAAAATACGTCTTGCAGATGTAATGCAGACGTCAAATAGACGTTTCCGTGATGTATGTGTGCTGTTAGGGATCCATACCCTCTATTTGACATCTGCGAGACGTATTTTTTAGAGTGTTTGCTCATCTGCAATACAGGACGTTTCCTATCAGATGTCAAATAGACGTTTAGAAGATGTTTATGATTGAAAACTGACATCTTAAAGACGTCTGTCAGATGTTTGTACACAGCAGATGCTTTCCAGATGAAGCGATGTTTAACAGACGTCTTGCAGACGTACCTGTGCTAACACCCAAAACGTCTTTTGTTTACTGACAATATCGGGTTTGTGATATTGACTTCCCTAGGACTTTAAAGGAATACTGCACAGAAATATGGACGCTGTTCTTCATATTTATCCATAAATGTCTTTTAGGCGTCAACTGGCGTGGAATTTTTAAATTCTGAATGTGAACGACTATTTAAAAGTGGTGCGCTATGTTCGTTACTGTATGAAAGAACGTCAGTTACGTTGATATTGACTTTTATAATCATCCTGGAAGATTACATTGCCAAAACTCTTCATATTTATCCAAAAATGTCTTTTAGGCGTCAACAATATTGACGCGGCATTTTCGAATTCTGAACACGGACGCCAAATCAAAAATGGCGGTTTCGTTACCGTATGAAAGAACTAATGTAACTTTGGCGTAAATGACGTTGACGTTCATTTTATAATGAGTTTGGAAGATTACATTGGCAAAACTTTCAGTTGTAAGAAAACTATAATGATAACTAGTGTCCACACCATCAGTACAGGCCTGTTCACACCAAGAACGATAATTTTAACGCTAAAGATATTTTCAGCATCCACATCAACACACGATAACGTTCTGTTTATAATAAGCTGGAAATAATCGCCTGAATGTAAATCCAACGATATTGGTTTTCTCTGTTGTTATCGTTGTAGTGTGAAACTTATAGAATTATCGTATCGAAACTTTATCGTTATAGTTATCGTCCTTGGAGTGAATGTTTTGTTTAGCCTATTATTTTAAGCGCGCCTTCATTTATATTCAGTGAACATAACTGTATCACACGCTTTTAAGTACCATGGAATTTCCCATATGACAAAAAATATATTTTTTAAATATACATTACAAAATATACAAAACATTGACAAAAATATATTTGCTAAAATATGTTGCAAAGTATTACAGAAATATATTTTCTATCAATATAGTTTTTGGGCATTTTTTTTTTTTTTAAAT